CCCCGCCCCTGAAAGCCCCATATTAAAAATACGAAGCCTTAAAAATAAGTCGTATTGAGTATTATTACGCCATTGGTCCTACTGTTCTATAGTTCTGTTTTCAAACTTCAATAATTATAACTCAATAACTATTGATTTGCGGCAAAAATGAAGGCCATATAATATATGTTCGTTTTCAGCATACAAAATACTGCTAAAAAAAGTAAAATGTGTGTACGTGAGAAGGATCATGTATGAATAAAAACAACAACAAATGATTAGGAGCCCAACATAGAGATCTGTGGTACAACATACTAACTACAAGACACCCACTGACTACTTTTTATTCAATCATTAGTAATATTCTCCCGTAATAAAACCACGACACCCAAGGGGGAGACAGGGTGATGATATGGTGGTGCCAGAACAAAACAAGGATACATTCAGACACTGTAATATTGTGCCCTATTTGCAACAACACCCAAAGTCAAAGTGACAGCTCACCCTCCCCCCAATTCTACATGGCATTTGTTTTACAAGGGTAGGTAGAGATATGAACTGCTGGTTCCCTTTCTTGTACTTTGTCTTCAGCTTCTTGTGGGTTTTGGGGTTCAACATATAAATCTTAGTGAGGTTTTTAAAAAATAAAATTTAATGCTGAGTTGTAATTAATAGATCCATACAATTTAGATGTTGTCATCAGCACTAGAAATTTTCAGGATGTTTTTTAGGGCAGTGACCCATCTTCAACATGCACACACACACTACACTTGTAGCCTACTTTTAATTCAAAAGTTTTTTGTTCATGGTAGTAGTAAACATTTAATTTTAAGTAATGGTGTTTTGGACCAATCTGGCTACTGATTAGGGGGTGGGGGTAATGAATGGTTTCTTTGAAGTGCAGTGAACCCCACTCGAACTGAGTGCAGTAAATTTGAAAATAGTAGTAAGCCGAAAAAATGTTAATGTACAATCCCTTGTTTCAATAGAAAACGACACAGAGCTGACTTTTTGTGTTTTTTTTCTCACCCTTTAAGTTTAAAAGAGAGGAAATCAGGTTGCTTGCATATAGGCTTCTTCTGCTTGTTTTGTTTTGTTTTTCTTTACCTGTCATAAGACAGGAAATCATTGTGACAATGAAATGTCCCTCCGTTTTTTTTTCTCCCTTGAACTTTGTCTTTATTGCTTTCTTTTGCCACTTTTTACTTTTGAGATTGTGATGACAATGAAAGAAAGTGACCAGAGACCCTATCTATCTCAATCTCCCACTCACTCTCATAAAAATAATCTGATACAATATTTTGGGCACATTGCCATGGGCACTGAAGGC